ATCCTTACCTTCGCGACAATCACTGCGAAACAACACTCTTTCACGCAACGAGAAGGGGCCATTTCTATTCTCCTGGTGAACAACAGAAAATCCGGTTGATATTCACTGCCTGTTATTTGCCTCTTTTAAGGATGGCACCGACGCCTTAATTTGCGCTGAAGTTAATCACAAAGTCACTGTGGAACACTATCTGGCTGACCGAGGGTACGGTAGACCGACGAAGACCACCCCTGTAAGTATCTCGCACTATCGATTTGTCCGTCTGTAATTTTACCTACATCAGTCTAGACATAACTTGTATGAGTCACAACATGAGGTTGTGAGTATAGAATTGAGTAAAATGCACCGATGAACTGAATTATAGCGAGTTTCAATTAAGTGTGCCGTGATTGTCGTATTTTTGGATTCCAGATTCCCGCTTCTATAGTTGCGACTCTAGTTGAATCAAAAGGTGGAGTTGTTTCCTGTCGGTAAGTCCTAGTTCATCTGCTAGTCTATAACAAGTACATCAATCCCCTTTCCACCCCGCCTACATCAACCCCCACCCCCCCTCCCCACCCCGCCTACAGCGATTCGTCGAGTTTCCTCTCATGTCATGGATCTCTGAGGACGTAAATGAAAGCTAAAAAACACAACAAGATGAACCAGTCGTGGTTCAAATAGAGTTATTTTGTCTCTTGCGCTCAATTTCTTTAACTTTTTAATGGTATGAAAATGCCACAGAAAGAAATGCTGTAAGAAACAAGGAAAGAATTCTACCCTTTCATGAAATAAAAAATGGCACGTTTATCATCATTTATTATAGTTTTATGAGGAAATAAAAGATGACACGTTTATCATTATTCACCACAGTTTTACGAGGAAGAAGAAAGATGACCAGATGGTGGATTTTACAAAGACATGGTATCTTGTGTATGCAGGCGGCCCTATGAGTAAGTGATTTTGCTTTTTGAAAAGTAAATATGTGTTCATTATTTGATAGTGTGAACGTTTTTTGTATCGATGTCAGTTCCTGAGTAACTGTGCACCTAGTCCCCCCCCCCTCCCAAACCCAACCCAACATAAAGCGTAACTTTACTTTTTGGCAGCTGACTGCTGTTGGTTCAGGGGAGGGGTGGGTGCTCAGTTTCTCAGATTTTGACATTGATCTGTTTTTTAATAAACAGGTGGAGACAAAATAGGCATACACTCCACTACTCCAAAAACAAGCCCTCAGAAAATGGACGTCTGTGAAATTGGAGAGCTTGGCGTAGAGGAGGAAAGCTTTGCATTGGTACAGGCTCATGGTAAGAGAGATAAAATTGTGGTTAGAACAAAGTTTCTCCAAACAGTATCATTTTTGGAAAAAATTCACAATAATCCAATTAATAAACTTCATATTTAACCTGAGAACTCTCGAACAATTGACGGAAGATTCAGTTCATTGAGTTATCATTACGACGCGCATTACGTCAGTTGTTTACACAACATGTTTGGAAAATTCTTTATAAGGAGAACAAATATCCGATATTTTTAGTTTGTATAATTATGAGAATCAATGGCTAGATCGCAAACTTCAACTTTAACAGACAATTCGGACGCTAGTGTGATTCAAGAAATTATTTACATTCTTGACCCTCTCTCTCAG